ATCTGGGTTCTTAGAACCGAGAGCTTTGAATATAATATACCTAGACAGGAGGTATACAGGAAAGGAGGTTGTGTGAAGTATGTAGAATCACAGAATAGGTAGGGTTGGAAAGGACCCCAAGATCATCTAGTTCCAAACCCCTGCCATGGGCAGGGACACCTCACACTAAACCATGTCACCCAAGGCTCTGTCCAACCTGGCTTTGAACACTGCCAGGGATGAAGCTTTCACAACTTCCTTGGGCAACCCATTCCGGTGCCTCACCACCCTTAAAGAATTTCTTCCTTATATCCAATCTAAACTTCCCCTGTTTAATTTTTAGCCCATTACCCCTTGTCCTGTCACTACAGTCCTTAATGAAGAGTCCATCCCCAGCATCCCTATAGGCCCCCTTCAGGTACTGGAAGGCTGCTATGAGGTCTCCATGCAACCTTCTCTTCTCCAGGCTGAACAGCCCCAACTTTCTCAGCCTATCTTCATATGGGAGGTGCTCCAGTCCCCTGATCATCCTCGTGGCACTCCTCTGGACTTGTTCCAACAGTTCCATGTCCTTTTTATGTTGAGGACAATAGAACTGTACACAGTTCTCCAAGTGAGATCTCACGAGAGCAGAGTAGAGGGGCAGGATCACCTCCTTCAACCTGCTGGTCACGCTCCTTTTGATGTAGCCCAGGATACGGGGCTCCTGTAAGTGTCAGAACTCCTGTAAGTCTCTCTTCTTTCATAAGTCTCCTGTGTTTTTAATCTTTAGCTTGCAGGAAGTGTGCATGCTAATGTAATGTCCTCAAAATTCCACTATGGGGAAACTAAATATACAATGAGTATTGAGGCAGTAATGGTTATATGATAAGTGTGCTTTGGGATATACCTATGCCTGTAGTCCAATGAACCTCACTGTAATAAGTAAAGACTGGCCTGTAAGAAATTTTTCTCTTGTTGTTCCTGGGTATAGTCAACCTTAATTGTCTTTATCTGAGGAACTGTACAAGAAGCGTTTAGGGCTAAAAAGCAGCAGAAATTGCTGATTGGTTTGCTGTTGACTAGGAAGTTTCTTTACTTGGAAAACATGGGAAAGTCCTTAAGCAGATATTTACAGTGACATTTTTATCTGCAGAAAGCTTATAGATTTGTAAAATGTAATTCTTGGTACTTTTTTCATTTTAAGGCTAAAGCAGCTGAACTCTTCAAAGCAAAAGACTATGAAAAAATAAGGTGCTTATGAAGCAGTTTAGTTTGAGTCAATTTACATCACTTACAGAGCAAATTTTATATGGAGTGCAGATGGTAGTGCAGAATAAAGGTTTGCTTGGCACACAGCTGGCTGACCCACAGCCATTTTTGTGCTGCATAGTACCAGCGTGTATTTCCTTTTGTCAAAGCCTAGGGATGGATCCAGTAGCTTAGGATATGTACAGACTTCACTGCTGTTCCTCTTGTCAGTGAGTACAGAACATCCTAATAACATTTCAAATGTGTCAGTTAAATTATTTTTCCATCCTGAGTCAAGTCAATTATTTTTTCATCCTGAGTCAAGTCTACACTGACTCTTTCTGCCATTCGCTTCACAGAAGCTTTCCACTGTGTCTATTCTTTTAATTCTGCTCTTGGATATTCCTTCTTTCTTTGATGTAGAAACAATATGTTTTTGAAAATTTGCAGCTGCTGCTTTACTGAGATACAGCCTTGCTGTACACTGTTAGCCCTGCGCTGAGATGAAGCAGCAGAATAATGTTATTACTGTAAGGGCCTGTTTGTCAAAGAACTTTCTGGCAGTTTCATGTCCCTGATCTTGGGCTTTCTGTGGCTCACTGGAGGAACAAAACAACCCCTGTGCCCCTGAAAATTCTGTAATCACAGTGTGGCTACAATCCTGGACACTGAGGTGCTAATTGGAAGCATAACTGAAAAGGTCAGGCTATTTCAAGACGAAAATGTAAGATTAAAGGCAAAAATCATGCTTGGGGGTGAAGGAGGGGCTAGAATCATCACTAGAAAAGCTGGTGCAGCGCTTTTAACGTTCTTCTTGAAAAGTCCTCTGAGCTACAAATTCACTTTTGACCTTCATTTTTATACCTAGGGACTAAGTTGTTATAGTTTTCATGCCATGTTAACTAGCTGCTGTGTATAGCACTGAGAATTTAACAGAAAAAATAAGCCTATTTTCTTACTGGGCTTTTGGGCATATAGCAGTAGTCCTTTTTCCTTCCACTTCTGACAAATTGGGAGTAACTGATTTTTGAAGATGCTTTTAATGATGTGCCTTTGGTGTTCTGTAAAAACAGAGTGTAAAAATATAGCCCCAAGCAGTCATAAACAGTGTTTGCTCCTATGCAACATAGCAACAAAACTGTTTATCCTGTTTTATTGTATAATCATTATGGTTTTGCACTCATTCTCATTTTTGCTCTGGTGTTTGTTCCTTGATGTCTAGTGGAAGCTTTATTCAATGGTGCTTTCATAGTGCTTGCCTTAGAAAATGCTGGGGAATTTTAGAAGCAATCTTTTGAATAAAGGAAGCTAACTGCAAGTTACAGGAAACAGAGTTAGACTGCTTTCATATTTTAGACTATTGTCAATAACTTGGGGACTTTACCAGTTTTTGGAGGGCTGTTCACTTCTGCTTGAAAATACTCCTAGTAAATCCTCCTCATGTTTAGTTCTCTGTGCTCTCAGTGATGTTAAAGAGCGAACCTTTGCTTTGCAGCCTGTGGTAGCGTCTTGAAATTTGGTGAAAAAAGCAAGAGGTTCCAGCTTCTAATAATACCAATGCCTTAAAAAAATAGCTTTAAATGTAGCTCCACTGAATATGTTGAAAGAAAAGACTAAAGGCTTTGCAGGCGGATGATCGCATTGTGTATGGCGTTTTTGTAAGCTTCAGTGTGTTATTAATGAGAAACTGATCTTCACTTTCAAATCCACAGCACACACTTGTAAGACAGTACTGTGTTTATAGATCAGAATATGTATATAGCTGAAAGAAAGGCTATCAGAAGCTCGTTTGGAGGATTTTCAGGCTTCAGTCTGTGTATGTCACAGACCAAACGAATGGCTGTAGAATACTTCGAATGATTTCAGACTTAAAGAAAAAAATCTTGAACTTATGAATAGAAAAACCTTCATTGATCAAAGCCAAGTTTTCTATTAGTTTTCTTTGATAACTTTCTCCTCTCCCTGAGGGGAGATCATGAGACAAGAAATAAATGTGTGGATTCATATTCCAGCTCTTCATCAATAGTAGACCAAACCTGACAGGTATAGCCTAGGGAGGAAAGAGAAGCTTTCATAAAGGCTAAGTAGCACAGCCTGAAAGACCCAAGAAATAAGACAACTTGAAAAGCACTTAAAAATAAACAGAGAAGGAAAAAGCAATATACTTGCTATTTTTATAGACAAGAAAATGCCAGTATTTTGGGGCTTTTTGGGAGGCCCCAGTGAATTAACCCTAAAATTATTTTCAAATGTGGATTGAAATTTAAATACAGAAATATTAACCAAACTTTAAATGAAGGCATAAAGGTTAATATCTTCAGCAGAATTGGTTGTTTGGTGGGTTTATTGATTTCTGGCTGTTGGAAAGTTATGCTTTTGTAAAAGACGTTTATCCCTTTAGAATCCCTATCTTTGTTATCAACCAAGTTTTCTCTTCTGTCATAAGTTTGAGGTTCCAGGGAGAAACAAAATATGTTTCCATTGCATGCGGGGACTGCAGCTGTAGTTATAGACTCAGAGCTGTTTTCTCTAGGGATGCTCTGTCTCATTGCACAAAGTGAGAGATGGGGCAGAGCTGGTAGAGAGATGCGCTGAAGTTTTCCACAGAGAAGATGAAAAACCCACCACTGGCATGTGGGTGCACTATAGACCAAATGTGGCTCTTTTGTGTTCTCCTGAGGGGTTTGAAGAGCTTTCTCTTCCCCTCTGGTTCTATAATAAGAGCTAAGAGTACACATGAAGGTTTCATACTTACATCATTATTAGCTCCATACACAAAATACCCTGAAAATACCACTGCTGTGAGAGATGATGGACAGAAATCCCAGCAGTAGAGAAGGTTTCAACTGTGGTTTGCAGTGCTGCAGTGGCTTTTAACTTTCCTGATGCATGAGGATGTGCTGCCTCTGGCTGAATGCAGCTGGGATTATTCACAACATTTAATAATCCTATTTTTTTACATGTACAATCCTAGAGGATTTATTCTTTAGTCTTTCAGTAAAATACACATATATGAATATTTTTTGAGTAAGAAACGTGGTTTGCCATACTTAAAGTACCTTAATTCCAACAGTGAGGTGATTTCTCTGAGGGATGCAGCGCAGTTTGTATAAAGTGACCACTCCTAAGTAGAAAGTTACCTAGTAGCTGAACTACACTAATACAATCTAATGCTGTGAATAGTTATTTGGACTGCACTAGAGTAGCCATATGTTACTTACAGTGACTTAAATCAGTTTTTCATGGAAAGTCATGAGGCTATTCCTTGGACAGAGTGAAGCAAAATGGCAAAGTTCTACCTCTACTTTTGGCTAAAACAAAGATGGGTCCTCTGGCCAGAGTCAGGTCAGGAGAATCATGGAAATGGAGGCATAGCAGGGACCTGAAGAGATATCCTGCTGTAGCTCATACCTTTGCACTGCTGGAAACCTGGTTAAGGACATCCCATCATTGGTGTGTAATAATTATATATAGTTGCACTCATGGTTATACAATTCTACCTAAGTATTACTAAGCATTCCTATTCCGACTGGTAGTGTTTCAAAGCAACATTGCATGGCTGTCCAAGGTGTTGAAAAGAAATCAGGCTGTAACTGCTCATAACTCCAAGGGGGAAAATGCACATTCAAGCTTGTTCTAATCATAGAATCGTAGAATAGTTAGGGTTGGAACGGACCTTAAGATCATCTAGTTCCAACCCCCCTGCCATGGGCAGGGACACCTCACACTAAACCATGCCACCCAAGTAATCACTTGTTTGTTTTGTTCCCCCCCCCCCCCCCCCCCAACAGAGACAAGGAACCGGAGCTACAAATGGAAAAGAGAAGACATCTGCTGAGAATGGTAAGGGTAGACTGTATTTCTTGATGGTGACTGTTAAGTTAAATTGACAAAAAGTATTTTTTACTGAATGACATTAGGTAGCAATGGCCTTCGGGTTTTTTTTTTTTTTATCTTTTGAATGTATTTGAACAACTAGAAGGGCTTCAGTGGGATTATTTTCTTTATATTTGTATGTCCAAATCATCTACTAAAGCAGAGGCGAGATTCCAAGAATATACTATAGTAAACCAAAGGACTCTGCAGAAGTCAGTGCAGATATGATTGAGGCTAGAATAAGATAATGTTAGGAACAAAGAACACCAAAAGGCTAGGTTAAGTATTATTAGCAGTTGCTATAATGTATGTGGAAGGAGAACAAAAATAAACTAATTACAATTAATTACTGAAAAGCAGGAAGAATGTAAGTCTCTTCTCTGAAAAGCCAAGGGTTTTCCAAGATGGGAGATTTGAGCAGTTATTTTGGCCTTTACACATTGGTCTAAATGGAGTTTTGGGGCTCTTTGAGGCAACATATCTTAAAACATTAAGAGGCTTCTTTATGCCTACTTTTTCCTAATACGGAGAGGTGACTTTCCCATAAGGGCTGTTTGCATAATGTTACAGTAAATGAAATCTGTAGATGTTGTTCCCAGTATGATAAAACACAAATTAGAGTGGGAAAAAAAAATAAATAAATATTTTGGCTTGTTATAGTGTCTTGAATTAGTGGGAACAAATGTACCCTGACAGCAAAGTCATTTGCATTTTCAAGTTAACAGGAAAGGAAAGCAAGCAAAATTATGTCAGCCATTTGGGCAGCAGGGGAAGCATGTTTCTCTCTTTACTCTTTGAGCACATTATGAACTGAGCTCATTTGCCTTGAATTTCTTCCCAAATAAAATTGTCCTGTTGTCAAGTTTAGCTTAGATTTACTGATCCTGCAGCATGCTTCATTTTTTTTCTTCTTTCCTCAACGGGATTTCTGAGTGAGAAAGGGCTGCATCATTAATTCAGAAATATATATGATTCTAGGTGTAGCATAGTTTTAGGTATAATATGAACAGGCAGATGTGCAGTTAATCTTAGACAAGTAGATGCCAACTATTTTTTATAATGAAATTATAAAAACAAACCTGTCACCTATGTATAATAGAGGAGCAGTAGGGGAAATGGAATAGTGTCCTCTGATCTCCCCAGTCCCTATGCTTTCATGAAAATAAAGCAGAATCAGAACTTCGAACCAGAGATTGAATTCTAAATCAAAGAAGCAGAAATGTGTAGTCTTTTTTTTCTTTATTAGCTGTGTGCAGTTAGAACTCATGCAGGAGTGATATATTCCTCTGAAAACTGGGGTGTTCTGTAAACCTACACACACAATATAAATCCTGTTACATGGGGGGTTTCTTTTTTTTTGTTTTGTTTTCTTTTTTCTTTTTTTTTTGGCCAGAAGTCTGCAGCATGTCCATGCCTTAAATTTTCCTTGTGGCTGTTGTCAGCTGCCTCATTAGGTATTTGTTTCCCTGTCAAAAGGAAACTCTCCTTGTTGAATTGGGGAGAGGAAGAAGAAATGAAAACCCTTTTCATCTTGTTAAAAAAAAAAACATGCTGTGAAAATGTTTGTAGAGGCAAGGTAGTCTGGTCATTGTCCTTGTTCTTGATTAAAGGATGAAGAGAAACTACTGAAAAAACAGCTGAGCATCTGTGCTCTTAAGACTAATTTCAGAGCTCTTTTTATTCATACAGTGGAGATGCTGCTATGGGTCAAGCTTTGGGTTTTTTTTGTTGTTTTTTTTTTTTTTTTTGTTGTTGTTGTTGCTAGAAAATGAATTTTGAGCCTGTCTCTAGGCTAGTTAAAAACCAGAGAAAGTAGAACTAACCATGGCAGTCGGCATTCTCTCTCTTTAAAGACACATACGGTGTTGCTGTCACTGCGAAGCATTTGGGGAAATTCAGTCTCTGAAGATTCCTTTTATAGTAGTGATAGTTTTGGTAAACACTTATGAATGCATGTTCTTGTTTGACCTTCATTAGGTAGTAGCATGATGTCCTTAGTTGTGTTTAGTGCCTACTGCCACAGCAGTGGTTTCTCTTAGCTGGCTTCCCCTTCTAGTGGAGGATTTTATTGCACACAAAATTCAGGCTCAGTCCCAATGCCTACTGCCTTATTCCAGCACCCTTGCTTGTTGGCTCAGGGGGATGAGCTGTGGAAAAGAATGAGCTTCAAAAAGCCAGTAGTGTGGAACACTGATGTGCCACAGTGTAGGAGCTTGTGATCATAGAAGAAGAAAATCTCATACACATGCTGTACTGGTTGTCATGTTGATGAACGGACTGTTGTACCTACATGGAACTTCATTCATCAATAGTTGTCGTTCCTCAGCTGCCGTCTTGAATAGATTTCCAGACTGCTAGGTGGTAAGGTGTAGGGGACTAAGCTCCCTCTTCTCTTTCAGAGCACTGGTCATTAGCAGACAGGATTGCTCTCCACTATATTTTGAACAATATATACCACCATATGTTCTTGGGGTTTATGCAGCAGCAAGCCTGGTAGTTCTTGAAGCTGTATCGGTATTATAAATATGATATGCCAGCAAAAATATTATTGGGACTAAATTACATAAGCTAGTTTTCCTGGGTGAAAGGACTAGTTTTTAAGGAACATTAGCAGTAATACTGTGCATACAGAAACACCTATATAAAAACAACTTGTATGTAGGAGCCATGTAACTGTAGCTGCCATGACCTCATTGGGTCTTGGAGAAACTCAGTCTGCCTGAAAGCTGAGCCATGCTTGTTTGTGTATGCCATAACAAACTTAACTTGTGAACTCTATTGTGTAATACTTTTCGCTGATGTAGAAAATCCAACGGGAAGACAGAAGAACTATCCCCATGCACATCCTTCTATATGAATCTGACTTGTTCTAATAGAGCCAGTGGGATAAGAAGCTATAATTTCCTTTTTACTTATTTTTTTATTTTTTTTATCTAGTCTATTGTGCTTGCAAATGCATCCTAAATGAAATCAGGATGCTCCTACCTTACTGTTCTTATCTTGGCAGTGTCACAAGGTTCCTTTGTAGGTTAACACTTGTCACTTCTCATTCTGTTTCACATTACCCTGTGGTTTTTTTTCTATGTAATTTGCAAGCTGGTATCATACAATCTACTCTTTATAGACTAGCACAACTGGCAGGGAAATAATTGCACAAGAACCAATTATTTCTATCTTTAAATTTAGAATCACTCTTTTCCTATTAATAGATCTCACCCTTTCTTCTGAAAGTACGTAAGGCATGTGATTATTAATTGATATTTGTTAATAATTTTCTTGTAATAGCAGATTTATCATTTAGCAATATGAATATTTATAATACCAAAATACATGCTTTCATGTGATGAATTCTATAACTTCCTGGGTATGAGTGAAATGAAAATGAATAGGCTTGCATGAATTTACATATCATGGTGGATTAGGCATACACAATCAAAGCAAGATGGCCAGTGGTACTGGAGGTGAAATTATTTTCAGTTTCTACTCATTCATAAGCATTTGTCTTGTCAGTGGTTTCTGCTTTGGGGTGATCTAAAAACTATAAGTAAGTGCTCTGCATTTCCTTCTCTCTGTACAGTATGCATGGAATGCCTCTACATAAGGATAAAAATCGTAGAGCTAAATCTTATCTTTACACCTAAAATGGAGTAACCTAAAGTCACTTAAATCAGAATGCTTTTGAAAGCACCGACTGTAATGGTAAAGAACTGTAAAACAATCATGCATGGTAGAATAGAGCTACCTCTCTAGTAAGCTTTCCCAGTAGAGGGATATGAATCTTGCAGTGTTATCAACAGTCCATTTACCCATGTCATCTACTCAAGGAATTTGTGAAATTCTTCACTCTGTGCACACTGCACTCAGGAATAAAGAATCTTGCTTGGTCTGACAGTGAATGATCATCGTAATAGTTATTTATGTAGAGTGCTTAGCTTAATAAAGCTTTAATTCCTGGCAAGAGGCCAGGATCATTATTGTAAGATGGTCTAATATAAATATCTATTTAAGAACTTGAAATTAATTTTCCACTAATATTCTCCAAAGACTAGGTAAAAATATACTGGGTTTGGGAGCAGCCCAACAAATAAACTTGTGGAAAAAAATTTTGGAAAGGGAGGGAACACATGAGGCCAACTTGTATAAATATTCAAAGGATCTCATGGAACACGGTTTGCTGTATCTGCCCAGGTCTAGAGGTCATTTTCCTTAGTTACAGGAAAGGGCAGTGACTGAGCTGTAGCAATGCAATGCCTCATGCGTTTTGTCTTTTGCCACACAAACAATGTTTTGTGGTAAAGATAAAATAGGTCTTGCAAACAACTGCTGAATCAATATAAAACCACCAACAACAAAAATCCCAAACACAGAAAACCACCCCTAAAGCAAACACAAACCTCACCTTTTCAGACTGCTGCTCTCTAATACTGGACCCATACTGCACAAATCAGAAGTTAGAAGGGGGAGTACTGTAGGAAACTACTTAATACTGAGTTTTCCTTGGTAATAGATTGAGTGTTGGGAGGAAATTTATCTTGTCCTCTTGTTTCTTTTCATTATGGTGTTTGTTAAAATTCTCTTGTCCCTTGAAAGTGGTGTTTCACAGAATACAGTCTCAAAGTCAGTAATGCAGTGTGTCTCTCCTCTTCTTCCAGTCTGTATCCAGAGCCAAATTGTGTCCTGTCTCAAACAACGAATCTAGTAGTAGTGAGGATTAAGAGTGAGATGAGAATTTTTGCTTCACCTCGTTCCCTATCTCTTAAAATAGGACGTCTGTCTCAGCAATGTTCCTAGATGTAACCATCAAATAACACCTTCACAAAGTGTCTGAACCTACAGCATAGCTACCTAAGCTGTATTTGCTCATAGATTGCTCAGGCTCAGAAGAAGGTGTAAAAAAAAATCCTTTGTGAGCTCAATTCCATGATCTGTAGTTGAATGTTTCAGATGAGAGATAAGAGAAAAATTCA